GGAGGAGGGCTGCTCTGTGCTGGGGGCCAGGAGATGTCCCAGGAGCGGGTATCTTCCCCGTGCCTGGTGTTGTGCTGGGGGCCGTGAGGACGTCAGACAAGACAGTGGGAGACAAAGCCTTAAGAGCCTTTGGTGACCAGCACTTTGGTGGCCCATCCCTGGCCCTAGTTTTGAAGGCCTGGAGACTCCTTTTGATGTAGCAGCAAGAATACTGTCTGTGGAGCCAGAGTTCCCAGTCAAGCCTGGGCTTCTACACAACACAACTGTGGGGCGGGGTCCTTATCTGACCTCCGGGAGTCTCCACTTCTCATTCGTAAAAGGCTGTCCTGTGAGAACTGGTGGGGTTAGTTGGGCAGGTTCTGTGTCAACTGCCCCACAGATGTGGTTTTCTTATTATCACCCAGAGGTGTCCACGTTCTCAGGACTGACCTGAACAAATCAAGTTCCCAACAGGCAAAATTCAATGAAGTAGCTCACCACTAGGCCGAGCGCCAGTGCTCACGCCTGTAATCCCAGCTTCTCAGGAGGCAGAGATCAGGAGGGTCGTGATTCGAAGCCAGTCCTGGGCAAACAGTTCTCCAGACCTTGAAAAAACCCAACACCAAAAAGGGCTGGCGGAATGGCTCCAGAGGTAAGAGTGCCTGCCTAGCAAGCGTGAGGCCTTGAAACCTAGACTCAGTCCTGTGACCTCCCACTCAGCAGCCCCTGGGACCTCCACTTCCTCCACTGCAAGATGGAAGAGGTTGGGGACAACTGTGTCCTTTCAAGAATGAGATGAAGCCAGGCGTTGGTAGCTCACGCCTGTAATCCTAGCTACTCAGGAGGCAGAGATCAGGAGGCTGAGATTCGAAGCCAGCCCAGGCAAATTGTTCATGAGACTCTAGCTCAAAAAACCCAACACAAAAAAGGGCTGGTGGAGTGGCTCAAGTGGTAGAGAGCCTGCCTAGCAGGCATGAGGCCCTGAGTTCAAACCCAAAGGTGACTCTCTGCCCCTTGGGTTGGATCTCTTCAGCTGCACAGGACGTCCCCTGATAAATGCTGACATTTCAGTTGCCCCTGAAAGAGCCCACTCCTTGATCACAGCAGGATGGGGGCAGCAGGAGGGCTCAGAGCCACAGCACACCTCGGGGCTCCAGTCCCAGTTCTGGTATAAACTATAGGCCCACCCGTCTACCAGCAAACTCTTGTTGCATCCCTGGGCTTCAGAGTCCTCTCGGGCGAGGACCACGCTCTCCAGCTGCGCCTTCCGTGGAGCTGGGTCCTGTCAGCACCATCCCAACGTTGTTTACGTGCTGGATAGATTCAGGCCGCACCCTGCCCTCAGCAGGAACCCTCCTTCTGGGACCGCTTGCATCTCTAGGATGAAGACCTGTCTGGCAATGCTTACCCTTGACAACTGTATTTGTCTCTTTCCTGTTCTTGGCATTACCAAGGTTTGAACTCAAGGCCTACACTTGTTAGGTAGATGCCCTACCACTTGAGCCACACCCCTCGTCCTCTTCAATTTTTTTCAGATAGGATCTTCACTTTTTTACCCAGGGCCAGCCTAGACTGTGATCTTTCTATTTCTACCTCCCAGTAGCTGGGACACAGGATTGCACCGCGGCTCCTGGCTTATTGAGATGGGGGTCTAACTTTTTGCCTGGGCTGGCCTTGAACCCCAATTCTCCCAACCTCCACCTCCCAAGTGCTGGGATTACAGGCATGACCGCCATGCCGAGTTTTTTTTTTTGTTGTTCCTTTTCAGTTGCTATAACGAAAGACCTGAGGCTGGGTAGGTACTGATCACATGGCTACACAGGAAGCCAGAGAGCAGGAAGGGCCAGTCTTGCTCTTTTTTGTAACAACTTGCTCTTCAAGAACTGCATCAGGTCCCTTCTGAGGGCAACACCTCTGGGGACCTTCCACTTGGCCTTTTTGGTTTTTTTTGGTAGTACTGGGATTTGAACTCAGGGCTTCACACTGGTCAAGGGTGGTGCTTGACTGTGGAGTCACATCTCCAGCCCTAGGCCTCACCTTTTAAAGGTGCCCCCGCATCTGGGTACCACCACTGGGGGCCAAGCTTACTATACATGAACCTTTGAGAGACAAACAGCATCATTCAGGTGCCTGCCAGAATGCAGCCTGCTCTGTGAAACCAGAGCCCTGGCACAGTGGCCGGGCCTCTGCCCCTCCCCACCCCCACTGCCCAATTCTCTTTCTCAAGCCTTTAACCAAAAATTGGAGAGAAACAGTTCCCATCTTCACTGTTAACCTGCCACAGCTTTCTAGGGATGTCATCCAATCACTGAAACATGTTTGGATAAAATACTTCTGGAAAGTCAGTTACTTGGGAAATACAGCAGGCAGCTATGGCTAAGTCATCTCAACTTCCTGAGGGCGATTCTCCATGGTTCTTTTGTTTGGTGGTACCAGGGTTTGAACCCAGGGCCTTGGGCTTACTAGGCAGGTGCTCTACCCCTTGAGCCACGGCCCCAGCCCTCCATGGTTCTTTCTTGCCTAGGTTTTATCAAAGTACCATTTTGGGGCATTTTATTATGATAAAAAAAAATCAACATAAATTCATAATAAAGTATCTGGAAAATACAGACTAGTACACAAAAAGGAAATTAAAAATCTAACCATAATCTCTCTCAAGATAAGCACAGCCAACATTCTGATGTATCTCTTTCTAGGAAAAAAAAAATCTATATATATGTATGATGAGAGACAGAGAGAGGAGGAACTAGTTGAATAAGTAGACATACTCTCATATATAGACATATTTTTCTTCTATAAATTTGAGATAAAATTTAATTTCACTAAAAAAATAGTTCATTTTGCAGGAAACTCACTCAATTAAAATCTGTCACTTTAATAACACTAGAGTTTCCTTTTCTTTTGGTGGTACTGAGAGTTGAACTTAGGGCTTTGCACTTGTTAAATAAATGCTCTACCACTTGAGCCATGCCTCCAGTCTGGGAAACAAAATTTTTCCTGTCATTAGATAGCTAGCTAAAATATAACTGAGAAGGCCAGGTGATGTGGTGCATGCCTATAATTCCAGCACTCGGGAGGTGGAGGCAGGAGGATCATGAGTTCCAGGCCAGCTTGGGTTACATAGTGAAACTCTGCCTTAAAAAGTTCTCCTCCTACAATAAAAAACAAAAAAGTAAAATATAATTGTGAATGTCAGCCATGATTTCTGGGTCTCAGGAGTGCAATGAGTTAACCAATGTTTCTTTGTGGGCTGTTCAGGTTGTCTGCAGCTTTCTGTGCAATCTAGGGTCACAAAATGAATGAATGCTAATGCAGGAAACCCGATTTCTTGAGGCCCTGACAGGCTTCTCCCTACTCTGCTGGAAACTCTCTCCACACTCAACACCCAGCTCAGATGCTCACTCCTCTGTGGAGCCCTGCTGCTGTCAGCAGATGTGGGTATCCTCTGGCTCCAGGAGATATTGCACCAGCCAGGTTTTCTCCTCCTCACCAGGCCATCAACTTGTGGTAGAAGTGATGTTTTGGGCAGCTTTGTGTCCCCAGAACCCAGGCCATGCCTAGCCCATACCTGCTGCACACATGGTCAGGAGATGATGAAGTAACTGTTGCCACTGTGCCAGGTTCTCAGGGGACGTGGTTCAAGCAGGTAAGAGATGATTTTAAACAGGGGCCTCTAAGGAGAACTGGACAATTTCTCATTTCCAGACCCTGGATTGGAGACAAATGGTCCTGCAGGACACCTCATGGAACTAAGGGATTGGCTTCACAATCTTAAAATAGCAAAAAACTGAGCAGTCACACTTATGAATCCCTATTGGTGGTCAACCAATATGTAGTTATGCAACAAACGAACAAATGAATGCACTGGATCCTGGCAGGTAGGAAAGTCAACTGCAGGTGGTGCTTGTGCTTGGTGAGCTTCCCATGGGGGGGTGTGGGGGGTTGGGAAGCCAATGGGTCCACCTTGGAAGGGTTGACCCCTTCCTCCCCTAGCCCTCCACTCGGCCGTTTCTCAGACTTGATTGGTCAGGGGCTCTGGCTGCCTTCCCACCAACAGCACCCAGTGGCCAATGGTGACCAACGAAGATGCCCTGACATTTAGGCTTGTGAAGTGTGTGCTCCTGGGAGGAGGGGGACACCTCTAATTTCATTTTCTGAAGGTGCATTTATTAATCTCTATCTCAAGACACAGCACAGATTTTGAGATACAATAGGCCCTTGGCATAGAAATGCCTCTCCGCAGCCAGGTTCTCAAACTCTTCGGCTTTTCACCCGTTTCATTTCTTCTTCTTCTGCTTCATTTCTTAGCGGCCTTTCCCATTCTGCGGCGAAGGCAGTGGATCCCAGGCGGGTCCCCCCAGTTGTCCAGGCTCACACCAAACGCAAGCAGGGACAGCAACGGGAGAACCAGGTGTGCCCAGCCTGTGAAGCCGGGAGCCTCAAATTCACACCTGCTCATCTTAGTCTCCCAAGGCGCGGCAGATCGCGCTAGGTCAGTGGCTCTTGCGTAGCCACCGTGTCCTTCTGAGCCGGAAGGGGCCTGGAGGCGACGCGGTGGACTCCGATGCGGGCTCCGGACAGGTGACTTAAGCCTCAGAGCGCCCTTCCGCCAGGTGGGAACGAACGCACCTCCCGCTCCGGAGAGTGGCGTGCACGTGACGCTTGGGAAGTGTCCGGCGCAGAGCCACAGCCTGGTGAGGGCCTCTGGGGTCACCGCGGCCCTGGGAGGACATCTGGGACAGCGCCGAGGGGCCAGGAGCGGAGGACGACAAGGAACAGTGCGCCCACCTGACCGTCCACCTGTGGCTCCGAGGCGCCCCTGCCGGGCGGGGCCTGGAAAGGGAGAGGGCAGGGCTTAGGCCGCGCTCAGCCAATCAGCGTCCTGGACACGCCGCCCGCCCCCGCCCGCGGAGGCGGCGCGTGCGCACTCGGCCGCGGCGCTCCCCGGCCCTCCCCCGGGGCAGTGCTGACGCTTGCGCCGACGCGCCCGACGTCGGGCACGTTGACGCCGGCGACGCGCCGCCGGGCCCGCTCCTCTGCGCTCGCCAGTGTCCGGCCGCTGGCCGGCCTTCGTGACTTGGGGCGGCGGGCCCCGGGCCGCGGCGTGGCGCGGGTGAGGACGCCGCCGCGGGCTGCTTTCGTCAGCCCCGGGAGCTCGCCCGGAGCGGGCCGCCATCACCCGCGGGCTGCCGCGGGGCCCCCTCGCCGCTCCCGCCGGCGAGCAAGGTGAGGAGCGGGAAACTGAGGCAGTTGGGGCCAAGCGACCCCGGCGGCCGCGAGCGCCGGAATGTCACCCGGAGCCTGGGCGCCCCGTGCGGGCCAGGGTGAGGCCGGGAGGCCGGGCTGGGCGGGAGGAGCCCGGCGGGACCCTCTGCGTCCCGGGAGACGGGCTCGCGGCAGCGCGCCGCCGCCTCCCTTGACCCTACGCCCCGGGGACCCTGCGCCCTGGGGACCCTGCGCCCAGGCGAGGGCCGCGCACCTGTGGCCGGGGTCGGCCGGTTCTTCTGCGCCCGGGGCGGGTGGCTGGAGGTCACCGCCGTCAGGTGCGTCGTCCTGGGCATCTATCTGGCTTTTGGGGGTCGCCCCGCCTGCGTATTTGAGACACTCCATACCTCTCGTAATCTCGCCCTTCACTTTTCCTTCCTTCTTCCTAGCCGTCCCCTGCTCTGTCGACCTGCTATATTTCCATTGTGGAACCCCTCTCTCTCTCTTTCTCTCTCTCTCTCTCTCTCTCCCTCTCTCCCTCTCTCTCCCTCTCTCTCCCTCTCTCTCTCTCCTTTTGCTGTAAACTTACGTAAGTTAGGTTGACCGATCAACCGTCAGAGCAGCCATTGAAAGCTCCTCTCCCGGCCCTTTAGCGAATCCAGTTCCTTTCAGTGCGCACCCGGTCCAGCCCCAGCATTCAGGGAGTCGTCAGTCCTTCCCGGGAGCTGACTGCACACATTCCTGTAAGGCGCCTGGTGGAGGTGGTGTTTGTCAGCGCTCCTGGCTGTGTGCTCCTGTGTGCCTCCCCTCAGCAGTAGTGATTGGGTGGCGTGTGTTTTGACTTTTCTTCCCCCACCGGAAGCTAGGGAAGAAATGGTTAACAGAAGCTCAGTTGTCTGCAGCGACTTAAAAGTCCAGCTTTGCAAGCCACCCCACGCGGGCGGGGTTTGTTCTTCATGGGAGAGGGGTTCCTCTCTGCTTCTCACCCTTGCCGGGACTGTGGTCTCTCTGCCCTTCGTGTTTGCCTGTGCACGCTTTCGCGGCACATTTGCACCTGAAGCATGACAGCTGAGAACCGCCAGGCTGTCAGCCTTTTGTTTACTACGGAACACCAGGACGTTGCAGGTTGAGGGGAGTCAGTAAGCTGCACGGAATGATTCCAGCTTTGGGTCTTTTCCTTTCAAGATGATGTGCGAGGTGATGCCCACCATCAGTGAAGCAGAAGGCCCCCCAGGAGGAAGTGGGAGCCACGGGACCGGCTCCCCTTCTCAGCCCGATGCCGATTCCCACTTTGAACAGCTCATGGTCTCCATGCTAGAAGAAAGGGACCGTCTTCTCGACACACTGAGAGAGACTCAAGAAACGTTGGCATTGACCCAGGGGAAATTACATGAGGTTGGTCACGAAAGAGACTCCTTGCAGAGACAGCTCAATACCGCACTCCCACAGGTATGCCTGCTTTTAACCTGAAACTATAGTTTTTTTCTCTCCGCTAAGTGTCTTTTTTATGATGTCATCTTTTGTTAACATACTAACTGAGTGTTTGGTGTAACCATTTGTGAAATGACAGTTTCTGGTGTTTATAAGCGCATGTGAAGTTCCTGGGGACTGAACTTGTAGGGAGAACAATCCAGTGTTCTCTGAAGTCATGTGAAAACAAAACACCCCATTATCTTAGACTGTCTATGGGGAGCTGCCAGGGCTTTAGTTCCGAGTGTTTTTGGAAAGTGCCTTCCCTTCCCTTCTGTGCTCTTTTCTCACCAGAACTGGGTTTCCCATGGATGGCCGCTTGGGGATTTCCAATTTCCTGAAGAAATGTAATAGACAAATTGGGTTGATTTCACAGAAGATAGTGTTTCTATGGCACACCTTTATCGGAACACCTATGTTTTGTAAATAAAAGTTGCTTTAGGGCATAAAAGACTGGTGATTGTTTCCTTGGGCACTTCCTTCATGGCAGACAATTTTTAAACTTGGAACAACTGAAGTTTCTGTATTTCAAAGCCTTCTCATAAGGAGTTTTAAAGAGAATTTTATGGCAGGTGAAGGGAGAAAGTGTGAACACTAGAAAAGTACAGGTTGAATGGCACACAGCATAGTGGGAGAGTGGCTCACTTAGAGGTTTATGAGTGGCCTAGGCGCCATTTTACTTATTCATAATAGGTGCCTTTACGGCGTACTCAGGTAGACCTGAGCAAGCGTGCATTTATGCTCTTAGAATGGGTCTGCAGTGATAAATTAGCAAATGAATAATTCCTAACCTGAATGCATTTCTTGCTACAGTCGCTTCTCCTGAAAAATTGATAAGCCAAACATTTGAATTACCTATTTAGAAACAGTGATTTGATGTTAGTGCTATGTGCTGCTTTCTTGTTGGGTTAGCGTCATAAAGATTTCTCTTACTAGAATCTTATAAATCAGCAAGTTTACCTAGGTCAGATTTTATTACCCAAGCTTAAAAAGGATTGGTCAGTTTTTATGTTTTGCCAGGGTTTTCTTACTCATATTTGTAAATTTCTGTTTTGTTTTTGTAATTGTGTTTGTTTTTATGTAACTTGAGGTACATATACTGAAGTGTTACCTAATACTTATGTATTTGGTAAGGTAGTTTTTGGGAAGAATGGGCACCTAGGATATGGCAGGAAAGTGACCAAAGTTTTGTACAGTTAGTCCCAGGCAGTGGGCATTGTCACACCTGCTGATGAGCCAGTTGCCTGGTGATCTGTTTCTGGCTCCTGCTCAGTGTAGCAGCCTGGAAATGCCCAGGTGAGTGTGTGACACGATGATGCTGATGGCTCATGGCACACTTGAGCCTCTGATTCCAGCATTTCCAAAAAGGTTTCTGTACTGCAAACCTTTCGTGACCCTCCCCTCTGTTGGAATGGTGTTTGTCAGTGGTGGCCAGACAGGCACATGCCTCAAGTAAGTGCTCATGCACTGTTTGCAGGTTAGGCAAGTCAGAGTTCTGTAAACCTTAGCTGTAGCATCCATTAGGAACAGATCCTAAGTGTGCAGCTCAGTGAACCCTCACAAGCTGGCCCACTTGTGGTACTACCACCCAGAGCATTACCAGATTTCTTCCCACTCCCTCCCAGTAACTGTCCCCAGTTCTAACTATGGTTGTGACTTCACCTTTGATTACTTTTGCCTGTTTTTGATTTTTCCATAAGCAAGGTGAAGTGATGTGTATTTTGTTTCTGATTCTTCCACTCAGCTCTGTGTTTGTGAGAGTCACCCGTGTTGTCTCTTGCAGTGCACTCATTCTCATCAGCTGCCTGCCTGAGAATCCATGCAGAGACGGCATGGTTCCTTTTGTCTTCTGTCATGAACTTGTTGCATCATTTCCAGTTTCTAAAAATTCTACCCTGGGGCTGGTGGAGTGGCTCAGGTGATAGAGTGCCTGCCTAGCAACCGTAAGGCCCTGAGTTCAAATCCCAGTACCACCACCAACAAAAAAAAAGTCTACCCCGAACATTCTTCTTTTGGGAGTGGTGGTACAGTTATGTATTAATTTCTCCCAGCGGGTGCAAAGGAGTGGAATTGCAGAGTGATAGCAAGTGTGTTCAACCTTAGGAGGCATTGCCGAAGTGGCAGGTGTGCCGGTGTGTACTACCACGATCAGTGTGAGGAGGCAGTTGAGCATATGTTCTGCGTGGGTGTGCAGTGAGAGGTGGCTTGGTGTGGCTGGCCTTGCTGCTCCCTGATGAGCATTTGGCATGCAAAGTTGACACTGCTCTGTGTGTGTTCATTGGCCAGTGGATGTCGCCTTTTGTAAAATGGTTGTCTTTTGCCCACTTGTTCATTGTGTTGTCTGTTTTGTTTCTCAGTGATTTGGAGGAGTTCTTTATATAGTCTGAATACACACATGCATATCTTCATATCGATACATCTGACGTTGTTATACTCTTGTATTTGTCCTTTCACTCTTTGTAGTAACTCTTTTTTTGATTTGGAGACAGTCTTGCTGTGTACTCAGGCTGGCCACGAACTCAGTATGTAGCTTAGGCTGGCTGGCCTCACCCTGCCAGGTGCTGAGGTTACAGGCATGTCCCACCATACCCAGGTCAGCTGTAGCTTTTGATGAGTAAAACTTTTAAATTTTAGTGTAGCCTACTCGGTCAGTCAATTTATTTAGTAATGTTTGATGCTCTGAGGTGTGTATCAGTGACGGGGCACTCTAAGTGGGTAAGTCTTACTTGTACTCCATTGATCTGTCATCTTTGCAGAAACACTCTACTCTCTAAGTTACTTAAGATCTGGTAATTTATGTTCTCCACCTTTGTTCTTTATTATTTCCTTAATACTGGACCAAGCATTGCCTGTTATCACAAAACTTGGGAGGCTGAAGCAGTAGGATTGCAAGTTTGAGGCCACCCTGGACTGTACAGTGAGATTCTGTCTCAGAAAACAAACAAAACAAGCCAGGCACCCATGGCTCATTCCTGTAATCCTAGCTACTTGGGAGGCAGAGATCAGGAGGATTGTGGTTCAGAGCCAGCCCTGGGCAAATAGTTCATGAGACCCTATCTCGAAAAAACCCATCACAAAAAAAAGGCTGGCAGAGTGGCTCAGGCCATGAGAGTGCCTGCCTAACAACTATGAGGCTCTGAGTTCAAACCCCAGTGCTGCCAAACAAAACAAAACACAAAAAAGATTTCCTTAGTTAATTTTGATCCTTTGCATTTTCAGATAAGTTTCAGAATCTGAGCCAAGGGTGGTGTTGCATGCCTATAATCCCAATACTCGGGAGACTGAGTGAGAGGTGAGCCTGAGCTACACTCACCCCCTACACACACACACACACACACACACACACACACACACACACACACAGAGTGCTCGGCAGTATCTGCCAAAAATGTGGGGGGGGGTTGCACGTATCTTACAGACATGGGGAGAAGTGGGATGTTTTGCTTAGCTGTGTAATTGTTTACCACTAATACAAAACACAGCTTTTCTTGCATGATTAGCGGTTTCTGTGTTTTTCTTTTCCAAGTGCTGCAGCCATTTTTCTTTTTCTTGCCTTATTGTACTGGCTGAGATCTTCAGTACAGTGCTGAACAGAAGTGGTGAGATCAATATTCTTGATTCTTGTCTTAATCTTGATACTGGGGGGGAAATCTTTCAGTATTTCGCCTCTAAGTATGATAATTACCATAGGGTTTTTTTTTGTAGATATGCTCTATCAAAACATGAAAATTCTTTTCAGTTCTAGTGTTCTAAGAGTTATGTAGCCAGGTCAGCCCTGAACTCTTGATCCTGCTGTCTCAGGCTCCCAGGTGCTGGGATTACAGGCATGCTCTGCACTGTCCAGCTATGAGGTTTTCTTTATCTTTTAAAAAATATTGAATTTTTTTCTATTATTGTTTGAATCTCTTGAGACAATCATGATTTTTCTGTTAATATGGTGCTTTAACTTTTTTTTTTAATTTGAAATTCTAGAATAAGACCAACGTGGTCTCTATGTGATCTCCTTTTTTTGGATTTTATTTATTAACTTTGTTTAGGATTGCTGCCTCTGTATTCATTCTTCTATTGTCCTTGTTAGGTTTTGGTGTCAACGTAGACAGTGTTGCTGTTTTCTATTTCAGGAACGCTCCCGTGAAGTTGCTGTTCTCCTCCTCAAGTGTTAGGAAGATTGTCCCTGTGAGAAGGGAAACTTTCAGAATCAATTTGATATTAGCCCAGTTGCTTTATGATTTTTCTTGTGTCTGTTTAGACAAGGCATCCTCCCGACACACACAGGAATTTATTCAGGCCATCCAAACTTTCCAGTCTGTAAGTGTAAAGTGTTTATGACACCTTTTCTTTTTTTTTGGTGGAACTGAGGTTTGGACTCAGGGCTTTGCACTTGCAGAGTAGGCACTCTACTGCTTGATCCACACCTCCAGTCTGTTTTACTCTGGTTGTTGGAGATGGAGTCCCAAGAACTATTTGCTGGGGGGTGGCCTCAAATCTCGATCCTTCTCATCTCAGCCTCCTAAGTAGCTAGGGTTCCGGGTGTGAGTCACTGGTGCCTAGCTTTTGATATCCTTGTTATCTGCAAGGTCTGCAGCGATGTCCTTCTTAATAATTCATATTGGCAATATGTGCTTTGTTTCTTTTTCTTAGTCAGATTTGCTAAGAGTTTGTCAGTTTTATAAATTTATTGGTTCTTTCCAAAGAACCAGCTTTTGCCTTTATTTTCTATTTGATATGTGTTTTCTGTTTCACTTCATATTTTTCTTTTTTCCAGGTTCTTGTGTAGATACTTCATTGATTTTAGCCTTTCTTCTTTTCTAGTATACATATTTAAGGCTATAAATTTTCCTTAAGCACACCTTTAGCTACATCCTACAGGTTTTGATAAGTCAACATTTTATTATCTGTTATGTGAAAACAGTTTCTTGGTGCATAGACATTTTTGGGAATGGATTTTAATGAATCCATTAAAATGAATGAATCACATG